GGGCAGAACCACAGGAGGGGTTAGCAAGCCCAGTAGCTTTTCCACACAGATGAAACCAGTGTCCTTTAGAAAACAAAAAGACACCTGGCAGAAAGTACATCAGCGAGGAGAAGAAACTATGTCAGGGTTTTATAACTTTGAAGGACCAAATTGCCTTCCTGCTCACAAGCTTAAATTCCAAGTAACACCAGATCTATCGACAAATGAATCGACGAACCGTCTCTTGCAACCAAACACGTCTGCAGCGGCTCCTGCGCACGCCCGTGGCTGCTAACGCTCAGCATTTGACATGCATAACCCGCACCTTGCCCCTGAGATCCCTGCTCATTCGACTGGGGTGGGGCCCAATCTAACAAGCTCCTGAGGGATACCGAGGCAGATGGTCCTCAGACCACAGAGCCGTTAGTCGTTACCAGAGAGGAATCAGAAGCAAGTGTGGGGCTGCGTCGCCGCATACGCCTCGCAGACGCGGCTGTGGGAAAACGCAGTCTGAAACCAAAACACCACCCGCCGGAGCCCCGATTTAGCATTTGTTCCCACGGCAGATCAGGGAGTCAGCAGTAAATGAGTAACGTGTTACATAAGTTGCTGTTCTGTATGCAGAACCTGAACGCACCAGAGAGAAGTTAAAACCATATAAAAAGCAACAGCCCACCCCCAAAACAAATGCTGCGTGAGTGCAGCCAGGCTCTCCCCATCCCCTTGTGCCGGGCAAAGATGAGGCTTCCTCTGTGCTGCATCGCCCTGCCCAGCTCACCCTTGGGCCCCTGGGAACGGGATTCCTCGGTCCAGGTCAGGGAGGGTGGGGTTAGGAAAGAAGGAACGAGGAGGATAGTCAGAGCTCCACATGGGCACAAACACTGGTTTCAGCAAAGCTTCCATCTGGCCAAAAACCTAAGTGAAGCCATGTTTTGCTTCACTAATACTCTGACCCTTTGCTGGGAAGTTCTGGAACCACAAAAACCCCTCTGTATTGGATCTTGTCCAAGAACCTCAAACTACTCTCTTCGACACTACCTTTCTCCCTCTGGCAAGGATTCCTAGTCTTTTCCTGTCCCTGGTTCCCCCAGACCTGGATGATGAATTAGTTCTAACTAGAGTGTTGAAGGCTGACACTGGCTGGGACATTTATCACACCAGTGACCACAGAAGCTGTCAATGTGGATATAGCAAAGTCATGTATGTGTATGTAACAAACATGTCACTCCTTCCGTGGAGCCAGTTTCAGGTGCTTTCTCAACATGGAGCCAGAGGCAGCCACTCCAACTTACCGGAGACCAGACTGTAAGTTCCAGAGGGAGAAGGCCTCACCTATCTCTTTACTGCTCTACTCCAAGCAACGAGCAGGGTGACTAACTCTTAGGAAGTGCTCAAAAAGATCAGTACTGAATTAAATTGACATCTGATGTGAATGTGAAACTTCATTGCCACCCCCATTTTACCACAAAGCATGTCTCAAAATGCAGTAGAGTCACCCCGGGTGCTTGTTGAAAGCCCATCTTCTGGGCTCCACGCCCCCAGACTCGGTAAATCAGACTCTACGGGATCTGCATCTTGCACAAGTTTCCGGGTAATCTTACACACGTACAATTTGAAAACCACTGCCTTAACCTTACAGGAGGGTCTCACGGGCACTCACAGTATGGGATGTGATTAAGCAAAAGGGCTTAATCACATCTTTTTGGAACAGCCAAAAGAGAACTAGACAGAGGCAGGCGGCTTCCTCCTCTCCCTCCAGGCACAGGCCCAAGTGGAGTAGAGAACACACAACAGGCAAAAATGAGGAAGACAAGAGATCAGAGAAGAGAAAGGTCTAGAATAGCATTTTGCAGTTCATAGGACTACAGTAGACCTCACCGGGCTGGTCCTCACCTATTTCCCCCGGTCGTGGGGGTCCACGCCCCGTTACCAGGTCATGGACCAGGGGACATCGGCGAGAGAATATGGCGGCAGCTCATATGCAATGTGGAAAGTTGCAGAGGACGAGAGGCGCACTTTCATCCAGACCTCTCTAGGAGTCCGGCTTCTCTCCTCGCGCTGCCATCTGGCCGCGACTGTCCGCAAAGTGCCCTCCTCACGCTTCCCCCCGTGCTCTCGGGGTTGCAGGGGGCCGCAAACAGCCAGAGTGCAGGGCTTCAAGCCTGGCCTTGCGCCTGCACCCGGGGAGCCTCAAAGCTCCCCTGGCCACCCTTCCCGAGACAGGGAGCTCCGCCACTGCCGGCAGCTGTCACGGGAACATCAAACACGGATGTTTATGCCAAGCCTCATTTACACAAGCCTACTCCTCCCCGAGAGATGAATTTCCAAAACAAACAGCTTTTACATATGTTAGCAGGCACAGTCACGTCAGCATCGGGGGATCCCCAGACAGAAATGTGAGTCAGTCTGGGGCAAAGACTGCTAAATAAATCCTGTTTGGGTGAAATTCCTCTCTCTGGGGGAGACGGAGGAACCTCGAAGCGGATTGCTCAGCTTCCCCAGCGAGAGTCCCGAAAGATGGCACACACTCCCAGTGGCGCCTGCTCCAAACGCTCCGAGCTCCAAAACCACCATCGCCACTCTGCTGTGAGTGCACCTCGTCACCCCATCCCCCATCCTCCCGTGAGCCCTCCCGGCCGTCCCCCTGCATCCCAGCATCCCTACTCCACGCACACTGCGGCTCCACTGGGGTGTCCAATGGCCTTGCTCTGTTGGCACAGGTTGTCCACGCTCACGCAGGATTTCCTGACATGCACGGGCTTGGGGATTCGGCAGCTAAAGCAAAAAATGCCACCAGGCAGACACACAGGTGTCTCAGAAAGGAGGGAGTGCACGTAACCGGCACCAACAGCTAACCTCAGACTCAGGCCACGAAGGACTCAGTTAAGGAGCAACTGGACTACTGAAGAAATGTCAGCTTTGGCACCTTCAACCACCTGAGTCACTGCCTCCTCTTCCCTTCATTTTGCCTGTAGAGACCTGGCAGAAGGGAGGAATTCCACAATCCAACACAACACACACAAGCTGTGCTGCTTCCACGATGGGGCAAGAAGGTGCAGACCAAAAGAATCAGCACCGCATGGAGTGGGGGCAGCATTTAGGACCCGCTATGGTCTGAATGTTGGTGCTCCCCCCAAACGCATAAGTTGAAACTTGACCCCCAATGCAACAGCATGAAGAGGTGGAGCCTGTAGGGGGTGATTAAGTCATGGGATTAGTGGCCTTATAAAAGAGGTCGTCGAAAGGAGTGTCTTGCCCCTTCTGCCACGGGAGGACACAGAAGCCGCCATCTATGAGGAACAGGCCCTAATCGGACACTGAATCTGTGGCACCTTGAATTTGGACTTCCCAGTCTCCAAAACTGCGAGCAATAAATTTCTACTGTTTATAAATTACTCAGTCCCAGGTGTTTTGTTATAGCAGCCTGAATGGACCAAGAGAGGACCTAAGACAGAAACAGGGCCCATCATCCATCCTAGTGACCACGGAAGGGACAGAGGCACCAGCTTTCGGACTGGTTTGGTGCATTCCAACTCCAAACTGGGTCTGAGCAGGAGGAGCGGACCCCAGCCCAGACCCCACCTCTCTGGGCTGCCCTGGTGGGGGCATGCTGAGACTGCAAGCAGGGGCTCTGCTAGGTGCCCTGGAAAGGCACCAGCCCTCCACACACATGGGTCTCGGGTCCTGGGCATGAGGACATTGAGCTTCCCTCAGAGAAGTGGCTCTAGAGTGATCACCAAAGCTCTGGATGTCGTAAAGCACAGTCGGGAATTTCCAACCCATTCCGGACATCAGCTGGAGTGTCAGTGGCGTGGCCTCCTGCACGCATGGGTGTCTGTAACCAATGTGGGCATAGGACCACGTGCCCACGGCCCCAGGTGAGAGAGGTGAAGAGAGAATTACCAGCTAGCTAAGAGTCAGGGGCACAGGTGGGGGTCTTAGGTATTTCCCTAGGATGCAGGCAGAGCCCCCCCAGCCACCACGGCCAGAGCCAAACCCAAGAGAAAGAAAAGCCACAAACCGAGCCCGTTCTCCGCCAGCGCGGCGGCGTGGTTCACGTCACATTCGCCCACATCCTGCTCTCCAACGTGGTCATTCAGATCCAGGCCGGGCTCGTGGGACCCGTCTCCAAAGTGCCTCTCGTCCTTCTCGGAGCCGGCATCCCCGTTTTCCACCCCGTTCTGGGCCTTTTTCAGGGGCATTATTTGCAAACCACTGGGGGTAGTCCTGTAAGACACCGTCTTGGCGGCCCTGTCGCCTCCCGCCGGGGGCTTGCCTGAATAGCCTTTTTTCAGCTTGGACAGGGGAGGGTTGATTCGCTTCCGTTTATGGGAGGTCGCCTTACTCTTTCCAGGTTCCGAAGGTCTGTGGGAGAGTTTCTCGACCGATGGGCCGCGGCCATCACGCAGGAGCTTGGAGGTGCTGGGCTGCTTCCCGGACTTGATCCTCTTATCTTTGGACACGTGCAGCCCGTTGAACTCGTCGATAAACTCCTCACAGTGCAAGAGGTGGTGCTCTGGCTCCCACGTGTCCTCCGTGCTCCCGTAGCCCTTCCACCGGATCAGATACTCCCATTTTCCTTTCTTGTTCTTCCTCTTGTCTACAATCCTTTCAACCTGCGACACAAGACGAGAGGGTCAGAAAAGAGAGAAAAAGAAGAAGAAAGTCAGTTCCAGGCAACAAGAACAGAACAAAGCATTGGGGAGAGAGGCGTCCACCCCGGCCATGCGTGAGCCGTTCAATGCCAGAAGCCGACACTTCCAGGAGGGTTCAAGAAGGCTGGTTTATTTTAGGACATCACTGAACAGAACCAAAGGCGCGTGTGGTCATTTCCCATGATGGCTTGTGACACCATGCCCGGCTGACGGCATCCATGTGTCCATCCAGGCTTACCCGTGTTTGAAATTGCATTGCAAGCTTTCACAGGAGATCTTTATTCTTTTCATTGCGCCGAAGCAGACTCAGACTTTGAAAGGCTAATTTGGAATTTGGTATGGGTTTTTCATCATTACCTATAATAATAAAAACACTTACGGAGCAATTAAATGGAAGGCACCATGCTAATTCATCATTACTTAGAATAATACTAATGATTAGTAACATTCATTGGGCACTTATGAGGCAGCCACTATGCTAAATGCTGGGCATAGATTCTCCTATTTCATTTTCTCCTGACAACAGCCCAAGGAGGTTAAGTATTTTTTCTATCCCCATCTTACAGCGAGGGAACTAGGGTTCAGGGAGATTAAGTAACTCAACCATGTTGCAAAGATGGTAAGGGCAGACCTGGGGTTTGAACCACTCTCACCCTAGACCTCTTCTCTTACTCACTAGGTCATTCTACCTCTCAACTGCAAAAATCTTCCATATTGACCACAAAGGACTTGAATCTAAAGAGCCCAATTCTCCCCATGCAGCTCCCCAGCTGCAATGCAGGAGTGCAACTGCTGAGCGCCTACTGTGCACCTTGCACAACCCCGTGGGTCTACACTATTAGCATTCCCATTTGATGCACGAAGAGATCGAGTGTGAGGCATCTACAATGCACGGCCAGGAGGCGGTGGAGGTGGCATTGGAACCTGTACCTGGCAGGCTCTGAAGCCATGAGCCACTGGCCATGCATCTTCAAAGGTAAGAAAACATGCCCTGTCTCCATGTAATCCCACGGGAACACACACACACACACACACACACACACACACACACACACACACACAAACACACAAACACACACACACATAGGAAAATGCTGGTCCTGGTGCTAATAATTAGTATATCTAAGTGAAACGTACCTGAGGGTTCACTGACTATTCTTTCAACTTTGCTGTACATTTGAATTTTTTTAATTAAAATAAAATGGTGGCAAATTCCCCCAAAATGCTAGATTTCAATGAAAAACTAAGCAATTATATTCAAAAGTTTATTATTTTTCAGTGTCAATATAATTTACCAGAATGTAACTTTGACCCAATGAAATTAAGTAACAAGTAAAGAATATGCCTTTGAAACTTATGAAAAGAAAAATAAAATGAGTGGGGGAAGTGGGTATAGTTATAATTGATAATTGTTGAAATTGGGTAATGGATACATAGGGGTTCGTTATATGATTCTGTTCACGTTTACACGTTTGAATTTTTATTTGTTTAAAATTTTCATAATAAAAAGTAAAAAATGTTGAAAAGTGGGATTGTCTCATCAATGGTTTACAAACTACAGCGGCTATGCAAAATAATTAAACAACTTTGATTGCTTTGCATTTAATAAATATGGAAGTAGCAAGGCCACACTGCCTCGTTATAATACTGTCTCTTCACAGACGATTTTGTTTCCTTAATTGATTTATCTCAACTCAAACTGGCCTATGTCTATTAAAATGTCTTCCCTTATAAAATGCTCTGTTAACATCTGTTTCAGATTTATTACATAATTTTCAGACGTACCACACAAACCCTATAACAGTTTTTAAAAAGTAAAACCCTGCCTAACTCATCCAACTTCCAACATTTGGGTCAAGGAATGAGGCTAGCTTTCATTTGTAGCGATGCTTCAGAAATCCAAGAGTGTTTCTGGAAGAGCCTGCACTTCGCCCATTTTGAGGGTATTGTAGGGGGAAGCCGTCTATAGGTTTACTGAGGGAGGAAAGTGAATAAGCAGCCCAGCACTGCCGGAAATAGCAGTGTGCCTGAGGACACCAACCCAGGAGTGTCAGAGCAAGCCCAGACATTTCTTGGGAGCTAAGGGATGTGTACTGGCATGGAGGCCTCCAGGTCTAGGAAGCTGTGCTCGGCTCCCAGGATGGAGAAACTTCTTCCCAAGGATGAAGCAGGGGATGAAGCACGTTGGACAAACACCCAACACAGTGAATAACTGGATGGGTGGATAGATGGATGGATGGATGGATGGATGGATAAATGGACAGATGGATGGATGAATAGATGGATGGATGCAGGATAGGTGAAAAGGTGAGTAGAGAGTTGGGTTTATAAACAGATGGGTAGGTAAATGGATAGTGGGATGGGTAGGTGAACAGATAGATGGATGGATGGATGGATGGACGTGGGATGGGTGAAAGGGTGGGTACAGAGGTGGGTTCATGCATGGATGGACAGCAGTCACTTACCAAAATGAACTTAGTATAATAATCAAGAACACGGGCTTTGGAGTGAGACTATCTGGTTTAAATCCCCTGATAAGCCATTTATCATGTGTTCTTGAAGAAGTTACCAAACCTCATTGAGCCTCAGATGACTCATATACAGCAAGGCGGAAGTTACAGCACCCACCTCATAGGGCAGTCATGGGAAATATGCAAATACGTATTTTTGCATTCCACAGTAAAGGTCACTTGATCTTGCATAGCCTGCTGTGACCACAGCTCTTGGTGGTGTCTACAGACAGAATGTTTCCCCACCCTTCAGAATATGACCCCTGAGGACGGTCAACTCCTCCCTGGGAAGAAGAGAGTGTACCCACTTAGATTAGTCCTTCCCCGCGTGGAAGGCGGCTATGCATAGTCAGGCTGTCTGAGAAGCTGGGGGGGGTCAGCAAGGGTGCAGGGTCTAGGTGGCTATTTGGGGCCACACTTGATGGGGGGCTTAGTTTTGTTCCCTCTAAGTTACTGGCAGTTTCAATCACAAAGTCACAAGTTGCTTTATGTGGGACATCGAGCCTACTGCTTCCACCTCTGGTCCCATCCACAAAGCCACTGGGTGGCTTGACAACCATTTCCACGTAAATTAACCCCAAACCAATGATGAACAGTATTAACAGCAACATCTCTAACAGCCTGGTATGTGGAGGGAACATTTGGCTCTGACTTTATCCCTATGACCCTGGGCAAGTCACCCAACCTTTCCAGGCCTTGGTGTCACCATCTATAAAATAGATTAATAATAATGATAATGATAAATACCTGCAGGGTTGCTGGGAGAACTGAAAGGACTAAGATACAGGCAAAGGATCTTGAATACCACAAAGCACTGCAAGGAGACGGGGGGATGGCTCGTATACGAAATTGCAATTGACAGAACTGCTTTTAGATACATTATTTCACCCAAAGTTTAAAGCAAACAAACAAACAAGAAGTTTTTTCAGGTTCAATAAAACAACTGCTTTTCCTGAAAGACCAGAATGCCCTCGAGGAACTCAGAGGAAAGCTGGCTCCCAGTATCCCACCACACATAGACGTCCATCCTCTCCCAGGACCTCAGCCCCTTCTGGACACCCCTCTGCAGATTTTCTCACCCTCTTTCCCTCTTCTTCTCAGGAGCATCTCAAATAGAACCTGAATTCTAATTTGTTCTGTTGATAGCAGAAGCCCACGTCATTTAGGACTTGATCTTGCATATGATTGCGACATTCTCTGTCTGGGAAACCCTTTCTTCTTCTTAAGCTCCCTCAAACCTCCACTGCATCCTAATCCCTCGCCCCTGCTGAAAACAGAGAGTTAGTCCCCCTGGTCCTGGCAGCTCTATCCCCTGATGCACCCCCACCCTACCTGCAAAGACCACACAAAGCTCAGTCCTTTCTAGTAGAAACAATCATTAATTCCCTACCTTTGTACTTGCACATATGAACAAACACATGAATAATATTAGAAAATCTTGGGTGCACACCCCCACCAGCTTCTTTTTTCAAAGATAAGCAATGAGACGTTGAACTATTCCTTAGAGTTCAATCAAATCATTAATTAACATTTGCTCTCCTTGTGATCCCAGCAAATGTGAGATGCTGTTCTATGGCAGATGGGGGCAGGAAAAGTCTGATGCAATTATTACCGGTGCCCTGATGCCACCTGTGTGACTGTCTCATTAGGATTAATAATGGTGACAATCACCTTGATTTGGTACATGCTAAGTTCCAGGAACTGTGTTAATCACTTTGAGGTGTCAGATTTCATCCTGACACCCAGCCTTTCAGCTGGACGGCATTCTCACCATGTGACAAGGGAAAAAACTGAGGCTCGGTTCTCCGAGGGAAGGTAGGTGACTTTCCCTGGATCACACCGTCAGTAGGTGGTTAGCCAAGATCTGAATTCACGGCTGTCTGCTCTATGGACGAGTTCCTAGCCACCTGGCCACATCTCACCAGTGGGAAGCCACCAGAACAGGGCAGGGCCCAGCGAAGTTGCCAACCAGCAACAAGAGGGAGCAGGCACTGAAGGAGGAAACAGCTTCATGGAAGTCATTCGGTTAACGAGCCTTTAATGATTGTCAATATGCAAGACACCCGTGTGCAATGGGAAACCACACAGAACACTGTCATGGCGCTCACAGCCTAGTAGGGTTCACGGCCCTTAAAACAGTGAGTGTAAGGTAACGTGTCGTGACAAATTACAGCAAGTACTCTGATGACCAAGAGGAAGGGGCTGAGAGAAACAGTGGCAGAGGGAATGGGACGCTTCAAATCAAATGGCCAGGAAGGTTGCTCTGAGAAGGGACAATTTAAACTGACAGCCAGCTAGGCCTTCGGAGATGAGAACTCCGGACCAGTGAGGGACCTTTCCAGGCAGGGCAGGTCCTCTTGGAAGGGAGGCCCCTGCCCGCCGGCAAGCGAATAACATAACCACAGCGACAATACCTAATATGTATTCAGCATTGACTAAGTGCCCGCCACT